CGCCGATTGCAGATCTGTGATCTGCAGTGCCGTTTAGCTTAATAGACATAACATAACCTGACATTTGTCATACGTACACTCTCTCTTCTCTTCTTAGTCGTTCCCTCACTGCTGAGGATCGTGACTCTTATTTAATTGGTCAACGACCTGTCTCCATACCTACACTATGCGTTAGTTAAAATAGCTCTCTACCTACCTTTTTGTAAGGTTCGTCCCTAAGAACGCATAGCGCTCCGCATCATTAAAGTATCGTTTAAGAATTGGATATAGCGGTCCAATGCGTTCGTACGCACTGTGAGACCTCATAGTATTGTTCTGGAATACGGCTGTAATACTTGTAGATGTCGTATGATGAAGGCCAATGTTGCTAGCTTATGACTAGGCCACCCGACACCGAAACTGTAGTTTTTATGTTGTGTGGAGGGGATTGCATTCAAATCCTAAAACCGACTATTCATTGTCGCTCTAAAGAAATTAAATGATCAGTCAAACCGTATTTTTCGGTCACATTTTGAAAAAGACGATCACATTTCAAAGTAACGAATCTGACAACCGAATGAAAATAACATTCAACTATTATTGCCCATTTCAACCGTTATAATAAGTTGTTTTTAAAAGCATACAGTAAAGACTACATAAACGACGTAAATATGTTTACGTTTCGTTTTATACGATAATTTACAGGGTTTTCGGGGTCGATTAAACCAGTATGGCATCAAATATGATAAGCTAAAAACCAATTAATAACGCTTTTAACAATGTTCTTAAGCATACAGGCGTCACTTGAGTGTAGCCGCACCTTTATGTTGCTATTCTATATAAGAGATTGACGTTTTCGCCAGCCCGATAGGCCGCCTGGTATTTTTTTCGGCACCCTCGAAGTGTCAACGTCGTCTCACGTGATTGGTTTCCGCGAATTAAAATATTTTCGGGACACAATTCCTCGTTATATAAAAGACTCGCTGTAGATTCTGTAGCTTGCGACAATTTTGTTGTTATTCCTTGTATACGAGTTAATCTTAACTGAAACAAGCTCGTATCATATTTGTTTTCAAGTATTCCTGAATGTCATAATCTGAACCAGTGCAAGAAAAGTATTAAGTCACAGTAAACGGAACATAGCTAATTAAAATATCGAATTGTACAGTCCACAGTGGCCAAATGTTCCGTGTGAACACACTGTCTCCACGTTGTTGTATCGTACCTGTTGAGGAAAAGATATTGCATTATCATTAATTATACTTACCAATTCAAATTTACAAACTCAGGTGGTCATCTGTCGCAGCACATTGGCTGAGAATGTCAAACTTGATTTTTGAATATTCAAAAAAACGATAATCTGTCCATATAACTCGCAATCGCGTGTCGCAACCTAATAAAATCGAAAGTATAGGGCAAAAGGGAAAATGACACGAATACCTTAATGTAAGTATGCATCCGTATTTATTTATTTTTTTCAAAATTTTAAAGTCCATAACATTATAATCTTTTCACTTAATGTTTTCCTTTTTCTTGTGTCGTAATGTTAATTTAAATATAAACATGTATTAATGATAAGAACGAGATCAGTAAGTAGAACAGAGAGGGAAAGTTCATGGATATTGTTGAAAGAGTTTCTCAAAATATTCCAAGGGAGATTACCACATTTTATAAAACCTTAGCTGCCGTTAGTAAACGATTCAAAATGATTATATTATCGTCACAACATATGGTGAAACAGTATAACCTTTTTACTAGCGTTAGAATGAAAAAAAGAAAGAAAAATACGTTTATTTGTTAGAACATAGTACAATATCTCTTATCCTTTAAACGAGCAATTCTTGTATATATATATATATATACACGTGGTACGTATCGTACGTTATGTGAAAGTAACCGTTTTAGTATAAAGTAAGTATCACAGTAGGATAGAAATTAAACTTATATAAGTCAACAAGTCAACAAAGAAAACGAATTTTCTTCCTCACAAAATATCGTTTTGTAGAAAATCATTTCGATGTCATGCCTTGCGCTTGATGGCAGAAGGAAATACAACCCATCGCATTCATAATGCGAGCAGGGGATTTTATCATTCGTGTAATTTATTTAGATTTTTCACCCCCTGCCCCTAATATAATAATTAAATCAAACATATTGGCGGCTGTGGGTTAACGCCGCGGGATAAGTGTCGCCACCCCTCGTTGACTTTAAAACCCGTTTAAACCAGCAACTTGCGGGAAGGGTGCGGCCTAATTCTATAGAGTGGAGCTTTAATGGGGTAGCAAAATAATGGCGATATGCTTTTGAATATATCGATATACGGTACTTACAACACTATTTTCAGTTCCTTCCGCGCTGTAATCTGAGGAAAGAGCTCAGAGATAATATCGATTTGTTTATGAAACCGGCAAGGAACTCAACAGTTGCACTTTTTTAAAACGATTGGTTTACAATGTAATAGTAAAGTAAAGTAACAGCCTATACATGTCCCACTGCTGGGCAAAGGCCTCCTCTATACAGAGGGTATCAGGGCATAGTCCACCACGCGGCCCCACTGCGGATTGGCGGACTTCACATATTTCGAAATATATTTTTTTTGGTATTTTCGAAAATATACAGGTTTCCTCACGATGTTTTCCTTCACCGCGGAGCACGTGATAATTCAGCACTTAAAGTTAAAAACTTCATTGGTGCCGGCACCGGGGATCGAACTCAGGTTGCTCGAGTATATTGAATTAAAGGCGAGCGCCCGGACACTGAGCTATCACGGCTCTATATGAATGTAATAGGTCAGTCTAATTTTTTCGATATCACTAAAGCTTGTCAAAAGCTATCGTCTGTTTTTGACATAAGTACTGGGGAAGTTGGTAAGGTAAGCAATATAAGAAATAAAACACGAACGGTTAATACATAAAGGTCGTGTTCCACTGCACAGCGATGCTTAACTCTCGGACGAGTTTGGCAGGAACGGATGTTAACGCTCGACGCGTCGAAACTTTCGCAGTAGACGATTGATCGATCACCTGGAAGTTGGACGGCTGCCTTTATTTCGCGCGTTGTTTTTTTGCATCGCACTAAATGGCTACTTGTTATTCGCTTTCTCGTCCTACACACAGAAATTGTGGGGCTGTCATTCGTATCTATTGTGCGTGTTGGTGTCTAAATTGTAAATTGAAGTAACAGCCTGCATATCATGTAGACTGCTGGCGAGAGACTTTTTCAGTTACGATAATGCAGATTATTTTTAAACGAACGCATGTGATACATCAGCGTTGATATTTCAGCGGTGTATTTCTTTTCTGAGTGGTGTTTCCACCTTTTTTTTACTTGTTTTAAGAGGCTACCTCTCTAGAAAATGTTTTCGCTGTGGCGATTTTTTTTTGTGGAAATAGTTATAAAGAGAGCTGGCGGTTCTCAATAATATAAAACCTTGGGGTACACTTTCTACGGGAATGAGAGAACAGTTTCTACAGTTTTACGGGTATCCGGATTTGAATTACGTACCCTGTTTGTGTGAATTGGCACGTTTGGATTAATTATTATTACTTTACTTGTAAACCTACGGTAAACGAAGATCTACATAAAGTCGTTGCCGTCAGGAATAGTCTCAATAATTACCTACCAGTTTCCTTCCTATTCTGAAGAAATCTTTCAAAGCTATAGTTAAATTATTTACTAAGTCGGGGCCGTGGTGACACTGGAAGTACCAAGGGTTAGATTGGCTAAAACCAGAAAGTAGTTACTTAGTAGGTGCATCAACTTTTATAATAAAATAGGTGACATCCACAAACAAAGTACTTATAAGCAATTTGTAAAAGCTACCTTAATGGCAAGGGCCTACTATAATGTCCAAGAATACATTGAGGACAAGAATGTGTGGAAATTAATCTTGCTCTGCACTTGCAAGACCCTTGGCTGCTGCTGATTTTATACCCAAATAAGTTTGTATAATTGCATAAAAAAAAATAACAAAAAGAACAAGACCGCAGAGTTTCTTGCCGGTTCTTCTCTGTGCAGGTCTAGTTTAGTGAACCGGTGGTAGATTTTTTGTTGACGTTCAATAAGAGCTTAAGCTAAGCCTATATTGAATAAAGATACTTTGACTTTGACTTGATTACTCAACAAGCTTTGGTTCCTTATAACCTTTAGATAAAGTTGCTAATATAAGTGGCTGTGGTTCGAGGATTAGATGGAATCTAATTCCAAGTTAAGTAAAGCGAGTATTTTTTTATGTGAAAAAGTGGCAAACGAGCTAGCGGTTCACCTGACGTTAAGTGACAACCGCCAAACACCCAGATCCGGAACAATAACCTGTGATACGAGATATGTATAAGGTGTAATATAGAAAATCTCTAATTTAAGTTTATACACACACTGACCCCATCAGCTTATAAATACGCGTAACCTTGCTGCAATACATTGAATCCATCCATGAAAACATCGCTGCATTCCTGCCATGCTGGCAATTCGTTTTAGTACGGCATCGAAGCGTATTCGCTGAAAGTAGACACACTCCCGGCTAGGAGTGGATGGAGATATTTGCCGTTTACGTGATTATTTGTGCGAAATATATAAAGGGTACAGGCCCACGAAAGTGCGGGCGTGAGATTAGTCAGTTTCATGTTATTTGAACATTTTAAAGAGTATTTACGTACTACATTTAATTATAGCTTTTGTCTATATATTTCGTGAATGTGAGCTTTGTTAATAAATCATATCACCAAACATTATTCAAATTTAAATTAAATATACATACATAGCCGTAAGCTTACTATATATACTAATTGACTGTCAATAAGTAAGTGTAAATATTTCAGCAGATGCAAAAAAGATGTCACTTCCACCGGTTCGGAAAAGAGAACCACTGACCTTTTTCTAATTTTAAATATATGGAAAAGCGACAAGACTTTATTTTTACTGTATGATGTGTAATTTGTAATTATATAGTCTGATTTGTTAACCAATAAAATAATAATTTGCATTAAATAATTAGTGGCTACGAAATGTGATATCAGAGACTAATATGGCATCTTGTTCCTCCAGCTCATTTTATAAATATATGTTCCAGTACTTTCGCTCGCCTCTGCCGTGTAGGCCTCGCTAATGGCATGTGACAGCGGCCCTGATGGATCGGACCACCCCCCGCCCCCACGCCTCGCCCCCACCCTTCTGGCGTCCACCCCCGCAAAGCCGGCGTCGGAATTAGCGATGTTTCCCTCAAAAATAACACACGCTAAGGGAATTAAGGCGTTACGAAAGCTTAGCCGACATTTCTCAAAATATTCCCAATGAAAATGCCAGTTTCTTTTTCGCGTCCAATGTGGTTAGTATATACAGTGACTGTATAGCCTGGTTAAGTGAGACATCAAGGGACCTGCAAATTGGTTTTAATTGGTAAGTGCAATACCTCAATTATAGAGGTATTGCACATACTATTGTATTATCCCGTAGGGTTTAGTATTGTAGTATTAGTATAAATAAATACAGTGACATCATAATATTATCACTATGTGTACTATAAGTCGAAATAAAAATAATCAATAGGGCTTGACAATTGTTTTCTTGACATACAATGGTCCTGAAATTCTTCTACTTGATGTTAAGTGATTACTGCTACCAATTGACATCTATAATAATAGTAGATGCGTTGCCAACCGTTGAAAAGCCCTGGTAACCTAAATAACAAACGAAACCCAAAAGTACAATATTTAAAAACGTGAATAGTCGGATTCGTCTTCCGCGCCCAAACTCTTTACCAAGCTAAGCGGTCATGACCTCACAGGCTAAAAATCCTGACATAATATATCTGTAATATAATTATCTACGAAATATCATGTTCTAAATTTAAATTTGAGTGCAGAGACTAGCTCTAAAATAAATCTGTAATATGTCTACAAAAATTTACGTTTTAAATTTAAAGTTTAGTGCAGAGTTTTTTTTTATGTGAAAAGTTGCCAAACGAGCAGACGGTTCACCTGATGTTTAGTCAATACCGCTGCCCATGGACATTTGGCACAACCGAGGGTTACAGATGCGTTGACAACCTTTTGAAAATTGGGCTCCGGCTACCTCACACACCAGACGAAACGCTAAAGTATTTGTCATACTTCCACTTTACGCTGGTCTTCTGTGAGGTCGTAGTACTTATGGACGGGCCAGCCCATACGTGCAACAGCCAAGGCTGCTGCGTGGCCCTACCACCGTAAAACCTTTACTAATAGACTAAAAGTACATCTGTAGTTTAACTAAAATAATTCACCTTTTCAACTTCAAATTGAGTGAAGAGACTAGAACTAAATACAAATGTTAAGCCAACAATAATTTAGTTTTACGTTGATTTTCTTAAGGATCGCGTCACTATAACGGATTGGCCTGCCCTTTGTGCAATATCACAAGAGGCTTTATTGTTGTCTGCTGTACTATCGCATTACGGGACAGCTTTCACTATATAGATATAAATATATGTTCGAAAAACAATTAAAAATGTTTGTACCGTCTTTATAATTTTTTAATAATAATAATAATCTTTATTGATTTGACGATAGTATAGTGTTTTATAGCTTTTGAACTCCAAGTTCAGCCATTACAAATAGTATTACAGTCACAGACAGCTTATATCAAAGTAGAAAAGTCAAAATAAGTATATCAAAGTCAATAATAATTCTGATTACTTCTCTTTGTAGCCTTTACCTCTATTCGTCGTGTCCATCCGTTTATCTCCTTGCCTTCGCCATTTCTCTCCCCTTATACTCGTCTCGCTCACACTCTCGTCGTTCATATTTTCATATTTCTCTAACGTTCCCACGTTTATTTTCTATTTTATGTTTTAAGAAGAAATTCCCACACTCGTTAATAATATCTGTCTCGCTGAGGTTTCACAAACATTATTCATTGAACAGCTATTTGTTGATAAAAATAATGTATGCAGACCTGAATAACACAACGTTATCTGTTGCCAAACTTGAAAAAGCTTGTACTATGGATACTAGTAAACATATTTTTCTTTTGTAAAGAAATAAATACTATAGATATATAAGCACCCAGCCAGTACAAAAATGTTATGTTCATCAAACAATATTGTCTAACTAACTCATATATGGACTCAAAACTCCACCTTCCGCCGTGGAATAAAGGTTCACTATCAACTGTAAGTTAATTATTTCATTCACATTTACGTTTGTAAGTTATGACCAATTTGGCGTCTTGTGGTCATATCACAATCAACATCTTTGCTGACAAACATGTTTGTTTGGTCGAGAACAAGCTATCAGTATTTGGGCTGAAAGTCCAGAACCCCCTCAACCGCTGGCCGGCTTTTAAATGAGGCCTCTTAGCCACTTATGGTGCGTCTTAGTCAGTTAAATTTTGTCTTCATCGGTTTAATTAATGCATTTCAGTTTTATTTGCTTTTGTTCTATTTAAAGCAGTCCTTGAAATTTCGTAGAATATATAATTTTCGAGGTCTGCCTATCCAAATTAGATAGTTGTGTGCGCAGTAAAAAAAATCAAGTCACGATCGACCACCTGATAAATTAACGATTAAGTTTAATCACCCAACCTGCGCTGTCGGCGCCTCACGGCCGTCTGCGCGGTCAACCACTTCGGGAAGTGAAAAGGCATCAGATGCGGGCAGCTTTAGAGATTTATACTGAGCCTTTTCTTTATTATCTACTATACGTTAATCAGACAATGTCTTGAATTGCCTTTTCGAGCTTTTTCGTGATCATTTTGAGTTCTACCAACTCGGAAAACGGACCTGTAAAAATAACCATAATATACTGTTGATAATTAGTCGTAATTAGTAGAACACACCAAATTCATTTCCTCAAGATAATCTTTTATTTGAATTTTGAATCACTCCGTTTTTGAATCAAACATAATATCATAATCTATTGATTTCTTGGTTATACGAGAATGTTATACACATATAGTATCATCATCATCATCATTTCAGCCTGTTTGAGTCCACTGCTGAACATAGGCCTCCCCCATAGACTGCCATGAAGTACGATCCTGAGCCACCTGCATCCATCGACTTCCCGCACATTTGCATATAGTATATGAAACATTTGTTTACTGTGGAAGGGCCACGCAACAACCACGGCTGTTGCACGAATGGGCAGGCCCGTCCGGGTAAGTACCACGACCTCACAGAAGACCGGCGTAAAGTGGAAGTATCATACTTTCGCGTTTCGTTTGGTGAGTGAGGTGGCCGGAGCGCAATTTTCAAAAGATTGTCAACGCATCTGGTAACCTCGGGTGTCGCAGATGTCCATGGGCGGCGGTATTCACTTAACATCAGGTGAACCGTCTGCTCACTTGGCAACTTTTCACATAAAAAAAAAACATGAACGCTGGAAATGCCGGGCATTTAAAATCAAATTAAAACTCGATGAAAACCCATAAAACAGGTTCATTTAAAAATATCTTAATCTATTTAACATACTTGTACCTCGAGCTATTGCCCTCGCATTTCGTGGGAGCATAACTCATATTTAGGCGGTAAAAGAGATCCTAAGTTTTAATTAATGAACATCCCCATTCTTAACTTTACTGCAATTTGTGCAGACGACGGGCACACTTAGGGCTGTTTCAATTTAGACGTTTTGTGTTGGTCCGCTACCGCACGTATTCTGTGCCGTATTTATTAACTTTCAGGATAAAATAAAAAAAAAACCGTAACATCCACAAACAACTGAGTGTAAACAATTTTAAACATTTTGTAAAAGCTACCGAAATCTGTCGAAATGTGGGTGGTCCTCCAGGCTCTTCGGTGCCAAATTGACTGCCGGTATATCGAAGTGCTGAGGTGCTTGTATATAGAAAGGCTACGATGTCCGTCCAAGTACAGTCCAGTAGTACAAAAACCTAGTGCTACTTGTCGTTATAATAGTTGTTAATATTCAAGTTCAGTAATAGTTAAAATATTAGAATCAAGGTAAAAGCGTTAGAACTCTTATATCAGAAGTGGGATCCAATATGAAAACTCGCGCTTGGCTGTTCAAACAATCGGCGACATATTTTCTCCTTGGGTACCTACCCTCGTAAAATAAAACGGTGTGTGTTTATACTTACTATACGTAGTAGTGATAAAATCGTTTAGTTAAATGTAACGAAAGTTTTGGTGAGTACCTTCCAGTCAATTAATTACTTAACATATTTGAGAAAATGTTAAATAGTTATACACAACTGGTTTACCCTGTTAAGCTACCGAGCATTTTAGTAGTTGGAAAATTTAAGGCATGAACTGGCGATGGATATCCATTGTAAACACCATCACTGGTATTTAGACAACATAGCAATACACGACTGGTCTAACCGGTAAAGCTACTTAAGTTGATAAATCGATGAAAACTGTGAACGAGGCGATATGCATCCCAGTTGTGAGGGATAAGCCACAGGGTAAGTGTTTTGAACGTGGCGATATGCATCCCAGTTGAGGGATAAGCCACAGGGAGTTTTAAATGTGGCGATATGCATCCCACTTGAGAGGTATAATCCATAGGGTAAGTGTTTTGAACATGGCGATATGCATCCCAGTTGAGGGATAAGCCACAGTGTAAGGTGTTCTGAACGTGGTGATATGTATCCCAGTTGAGGAGATAAGCCACAGGGTAAGGTGTTAATTTTATGAAGGTTACTTGTACCAGACTACAACACGGCTGAATGTTGGCGCTGGCAACACTGTATACCGGATATGACGTTATCTACTCGAGCCAAGGGACACATGTTCGCATGTAGCAGCGGTCACTTGGATTTCGGCTGCGTTCCCGATAAGTGATATAATAGTTGTTAATATTCAAGTTCAGTAACAGTTAAAATATTAGAATCAAGGTTAAAACGTTAGAACTCTTAAAGATACGTTGCCACCTTTTCATAAAGCGACTGTATTCAACTTTGACTTTGACTTTTAGCTATCGTTACCCCCGGGCCAATTCGTCAGCGCCTTGCCGGAGAATGCGTTCACGCCCATGAATAATAATCACGCTGCCACTCAAGGAAACTAGATGTAATCACTTCGACCTTGCTATATTCGATATGCAATAAAATTCCAAACAATTAGCTACGATTACGCGAAGTAATTGTATAATTACGTTGTGCATACGAAATACCGTATCTTTAATCATTTCGATTAAAATGTTTTTAAAGTTTAGAAACAGCCCTCAATTAAAGAGTTCTATTGATATTTCTATTAAATTAAAAAAATCTTTCTATGTTATTAATTTGACTGCAAACCGTTCATTGTGTTAGATTAGTTTAAATATTTATTTTCATTTCGGTCCAAAATATTTTAGTTCGGTGAAATGTGAGGGCTCCGTGGCGCAGTTGCCAAGGTATGGTCGTGGTTTCGATTCCCAAACGGGACAACTATTTGTGTGACCCACAGATAGTTGTTTCGCATCTAGGCGTTTGTCCACGTGAAATCTATGTTCGTAAAACGCCCTTTCAACACAGGATGATGTTATCCTACAGTAAGTGCAATGTTTAGAAAAAACGTAAGCAGCACAGACAATCAGTGTCTACCCCGTTAGCTATGAGACATGAAATCTTGTTCGGGGGCAAGGTGAAAAGTACATTAAAGTTACGTTTAGCAAATTGGCAACAATTAAGTGCTAAGTGACGGGCAAACAACGGGTATTTCAAGGCAACATTTTAATTCTAACGAGACAAAAGGCTTTCAATTGAACATGGAGTGCCCTGTTATCCTTATGCAAGATTTAAAAAGTAAAATAAGCTAACAAAGCTCTTATCTATCCAGTATTAGGGTTGAATTTTAATTAATAATTTTTTGAATTATCCTGAATGTAGCGTACAAAACCTAACTATTCAATAAACAATAGACCTATTTATTACTAAAGTATTAAAGCTCAAATTGCAACAAATGTAATTTCATAATTATTCGACCCAGAACTTTTGAAAACTGACCCATACGCCTCAAGGTCTAAGAACCACTCCTTTGTAATCAAAATAGATCTAGATAACGTCTAGGTATGGCCTCTAGACGACTCGACAAGTATAGAAATGACTGTCTGTATATTTGAGCTATTTATAATGCCACAGGGCTATTTTCTTTGTAGTCTGAATAAATATAGTAAGTATAAAAATGATTTTCAATCATTTTTATACTTACTATAGTAGTTTAGTAATCAAAATAGATCTAGATAACGTCTAGTTCTGACCTCTAGACTACTCTACAAGTATAGAAATGATTGTCTGAGGGATATTTGGGCTATTTATAATGCCACAAGGATATTTTATTTGTAGTCTGAATAAATTATATAGTGAAATGAGCGTCAGTATTGTATAAGGCAATACAACTCCTTACTAGCTTGTAATAGGTGTTACAAATTTTAAAGCTTTAGTTCGAGACCAAAGTCGAATAAGTATAAAAATATCTTGTTTTTTTTTCTTCATTCACCTGTATTTTCTGTGGAAACCTAGTATCCTAGCATATCATATTAAAAGATACCGGTTTAAATCGCTGCGACTCTGTGTAATTTTATCTATTACGCTACACAGAGATAGAAAGAAATATTAGTAATTAGACACTTGAAACAGCTACTTCCTTTTACACAGTTCACGAAATCATAAAATATGGTGCAAGTTCTTAGGAGGTCGCGGTATTGAATCTCAACTAAAGGTGTTCTGAACGTGGTGATATGTATCCCAGTTGAGGAGATAAGCCACAGGGTAAGGTGTTAATTTTATGAAGGTTACTTGTACCAGACTACAACACGGCTGAATGTTGGCACTGGCAACACTGTATACCGGATACGACGTTATCTACTCGAGTAAGGGACACATGTAGTTCCTTTTACACAGTTCACGAAATCATAAAATATGGTGCAAGTTCTTAGGAGGTCGCGGTATTGAATCTCAACTTAACGTTGTTTTTTTTTGTTTTTATAAACACACCAACAGTATACATATTTACACAATTTATTAAAAAGGAAAAAATAAAAAAAATTGGATCTTATAATAATTATATACACCTATAACGTGTGTACAACATTTACAATATGATGACGATAAAGTTTAAAAAAAATCAAAAACTAATACATAAAAAATTAAATACATATAATAACATAACAATGAAAATAAAAAAAAACAAAAATAAATTAAAATTTATTTTAACAAAAGAGTATATACTGAAATGCACGGGAATCGTTAAATATGTCAATGTGTATTCAGCACGAGTAAAAAGTGTAATAAACTCATTGCATATTCTCACATAAGGTGTATTAAGGCCAAGATTAGTCTTTAGAGTCGGTGTATGAAGGTGATTGTGGATTTTTGTGATAGATTTGCTTGGAAGTTTGTGAGGTACAGCTAGTGGAATTTTCTGAAAATGTTTGTTAAACATGAAGATGAAAAGAAATTGTCGCGTGAAATTACTTTTTGCTAGGAATTGAACCTGGGACCTGCGATTAAATCGCTCAGTGACCCATGTCAAAACTAAAGAGCGGGGAAGTAAGAAATACATATCTTTTTCTTTCTTTGAAAAAATGTACACAATGGGGTACATTCGCATATTTTTAAAGTTATGTAGCGCGTTGTACATGCCCTGTGGTAATTAATTATATACTATGATGTTGTTAACAAGTTACGCGCTGCTACACGAACGCACGCTAGCGTACTTTGTAGAAACTCTACAATTAGTGCTACGGAATAAATGATGTTAACAATCGACGTGATTTACTACTGATTTCAATTAATGTCGTAATGAAGAAGTTTTACATTTATTCCTCTTCGTGTATAGACAATATTAGAACAGACGTTACGGCTGAAGACAATTATGGACAATATATTAGTAGGAAGTCCATTTATCACCGGAAGTCCATAATAGACAGTTTCGTCTCGGGAGCAGTATGTCGCTGCCTTCAGCTTCCCGTGTGACCATAATAACGACCAGGCCATTTCGAGCCTCCAATCTCCGCAAGTTCGGAACCCCATAGCTCGTCACTTGGCATAACACCATTAACTAAAAGAGGTTTCGTCATATACAGCCTCAGGATACTCCGCTCACAGTTTAACGCCGCCAGAGTATACCATGGGTCCTGGTTCTCCCTGTACTAGAAAAATAGTAGCTCGCCGTTGCCTGACGTCCAATCCTACACAGATATTAGTCAAAAAAGAAAGTTCATTGGATTTTTAGTTTTCGATTTTATTAAAAGGTGGAAACGCATCAACAATCCTACGGGCGTTGCAAACGTCAATGGGCGGCAACTATCACTTAACATCAGATGAACTACCAGCTCGTTTGCCACCTTTTGAGATAAAAAACAGGACTTTGAACTTTTGGAAAATTTCTGGTAGTACTTTTGACCACAATAATTTTAAAGCAATCCTTGTACTGCAAACTCTAGAATTGTATTTTAGTTCACATAATTTATTGCATAATAAGCAAAATTGATTTACTAGATGTCGCTCAACAACAGATGCGGATATACTGCAAAAGGGAGCTATTCGAGCAGCTTATAACCTGGGCCCCAAAGAATCACTACGAAATTGGTTTAAAGAAATCAAAATGTTGACTCCTCAGTACATTTTTGAAAATTTTATGTACGTATGTCCATAATAATAAGAATGGATTTTCAAGATTTAGTAATTTACATAATATAAATACTAGGAACAAACATAAATTGACGTTTCAAAGTCAAAGTATCTTTATTCAATATAAGCTTAACTTAAGCTCTTATTGAACGTCAACAAAAAATCTACCACCGGTTCACTAAACTAGACCTGCACAGAGAAGAACTGGCAAGAAACTCTGCGGTCTTGTTATTTTGATGCAATTATACAAACTTATTTAGATATAAAATCAGAGTTTAGATATAAAACAAGAGTCATTTCCACACATCCTTGTCCTCAATGTATTCTTGGACATTATAGTAGACCCTTGCCATTAAGGTAGATTTTAGTTATTTGCGGATGTTACCTATTTTATTATAAAAGTTGATGCATCTACCAAGAAACGACGTTAACGGAGAGTTAACAATTAAAATTTCGGAACAAATAACCAGATCCGGAACAATTATCCTTCGACTCAAAAATACTCTTCCTATGTGGGAATCGAACCGACGATCCCCAGCAGTTTTAGCCAAAATAATTTAGCAATAGTTTTGCAACTGTGCCACCGAGTAAATACAACAAAAATGATTACACAATTAGCATACTAATCTAAATAAATAAATAATTATTTCAAAGACTTATACAAAACAGATTTTTATTATAAGGAAGTGTAAAGTATAATAACATTACATAATGAAACGTAATCCAAAAAAACTCAACCAGTTTCTTAACCGACATGCCTGATATCAAAATTCCCGCCATAAATTACCTACCGGAAGTAGTGTGACGAGAAATATTACGTACGTATGATAAATTACGAACGTAAACAAGATTATTCATGTGGGACGCGATGTCGAATACGAGATTGGTTTATCAATCCTTTCGCAAGAAAGTCATTTACGTAATTCCGGCCAAAACACATTGTCGATTCCTAGACGGATTTATTGCACAATTCGCGGAAATTTCGGGAGTGGACAATAGATTTTAAATACGGCAGGAAGTTGTTGCGAAACTTTGACCGTCAGGCGTGCGTGATTGTAAACCATTTGATAGCATAACATTACCAATACGATAAATTCAAATATCTTTACTCAACATAGGAGCATTCAGTTAATTATAGCCCAAATACTACCAACGGTTTGGAAAAGAAAGCCACTGATCTGAGAAGAATCGGTGAGAGAAACCCAGCGCGCTCCTTTTTTTTCATGAATAGAAATAATAGAATAGGTCAATATTCGCATCAAGCCCCTGGCTAGCCCACGAGTTCTGTATTCGACGAAGCTTATCGATCTACGGACTTAAAACAAAAACATGAGTTTTAGTAAAGAAGTAAAAGAAGGTAGGCCGCTCTTTTATTTTTCTAAACATTACTACCTCAAGGCCTTTATTTCGTTATTTCGTACAAGCATTGATTAGTTTTTAACTAGATAAAGTTGTAAACAGCGTGTCGTTACCATCGCGACAATAAATAAACACACATATAGGGGATAACTTTCTAAAGTTGTATTAACATTTAAATTCTTTAAACATCAATATTTACAGAGTTATTAAATTTTCCAAAACAAAGAATTTTAGAACACCCTTACCTATAAAAGCGTAACGTAAAGTTCATTTGTAAAGGTCACAAAGCATATGAATGGGTTGAATGAATTTATAAGAGACAAAACATACTGTTAGAAGAAGAGGCTTGTAATACGACGCTGTGGCGCGAGTTGTATAGGATGTTACAAATTTTGTTTCTGTTTTACTTAATTAGTTTGTTTGAAAAATATTTTTTTTTAATTATGGATTTTGTTTAACGTTAATATTTTTTTATGATTATTGGCAAGTAGCGTTAGACGTGTGTTCATTTATTGTCGCAATGGTAACGACACGCTGTATAATATATCCTGAAATACATATCTGACCTTGGCTAGCAAGCGTCTTTAAACGGAATGGTTAGGACATATAATAAGATCTCGAGAAATTCGAGATTTAACTAACTATTGTTGAAAATTATTTTGGATTTTGTACCAAGCATCTTTATTTTTTTAATTTTTTTAATTTTTCTCGCGCATTATAAATTGCATGCTGGCAGCGCCTGTCATTGTAATGGTACAAACGAACTCTTTTATCTTCAATTATTTTTGTCTTTTATAGTGTACACTATGTTGGCGGTCATTAAATAAATAAAGGAAATGAATAAATATTAACTTATTATTCATATTTATTTCTAGTGACGCAGTGTGCAGTTGACGTAACTGGGCCATCGAATTAACAAAAACACCCGAGAAGCGAACTCAAAGTGCAAAGTTACGATATGCGAATGAATTTATACTGTCAGAGGTCGCGTCTGTTCACGTGGGGTTAGTGTCACTGCCACTGAGCAGTGAAATTGAACCATGTTTATCGGTGGTTAACTGTGGTAGGACCGCGCAACAGTGTTCGCTGTTGCACGAATGGGCAGGTCCGTCCGGGTTAGCACCACGACCTCACAGAAGACTTGCGTGAAGAAGTGTTACACTTCTGCGTTTCGTCTGGTGAGTGAGGTAGCTGGGGCCCACTTTATTAAAGTTTGGCGACGCATCTGCGACCCTACGGGTGTTGCAAATGTCCATGTGCGGCAGTTACCACACAAGATTAGTTAAATCCTCGTTTGCCACACTCTCACATAAAAAAACCGTCATAAAAATTCACCTATCAATCAGCAGTCAATCGACCATTCGACGGGAGAGCGATAAAATAGCAATGAATTGTTTTATCATTGCTGTCCACTTAAAGTTGTCTTGTGCATATATTACAGTTAAATCATTACATAATATGTCAACATATGAGTATCTATCAATCAATGCAATGAATCAATTTATTAAATTTAGACTTAAGAATGTATAAATAATGTAAGAATCATAATATTATTCTAATATGTTCGATGAAGCTTTTATAATCTATGGGCTGAAAGCAAAATTATCGGTTAATGAAAGATTTTTTTTAATGTGAAAAGTTGCCAAGCGAGCAGACGGTTCACCTGATGTTAAGTTAATACCGTCGCCCATGGACATCCGCTACACCCGAGGGTTGCAGATGCGTTGACAACCTTTTGAAAATTGGGCTCCGGCTAAAAATTGGGCTCCGGCTTAAAATGAATGAAGATGAAAGATGTAAGACAAAATAAATCAGGCAGCTGAATAAAAATTGTAAATGGTGGTTACCACTTAACGTCAGGTGAACCGTCACCTCGATTGCACCCTTTTCACATAAAAAAAGTATTTTGAAGATATGTGATGACTGTCACTCCGTAGTTGGGTCGCGTGGTGGACTATGCCCTAATACCTTCTGTACGGAGGTCTTCGCCCAGCAGTGAGTATGTAAAAAGCAGTTACTTTACAGTCAGTCGGAAATTCACATGCTCCAATCAATCTTACTGTCTAACCACCACATCAACACAAAACTGCCACAGCTAAAGTTAGGCTCATGAAGTTATAATAAATCAAAGCATACATGCCTTATATACACCTAAAATACATTAACTAAGATACACCATAAAACTTAACGAAAGATAAAAGTTAAACAATCGGAAATTTTGGGTAAAATAAATAAAAACCAGTTAAGTGCGGGTCGAAATAGTACGCCGAGGGTTCCGTACCTACCCCTTATACCGCCATAATGAAATTGACATACATACGGGGCCCAGACGTGGAACATGACGGCGAGGCTGGCCCAACGATTACTTGTCGCTCAGCGAGCTGTGGAAAGATCTATGCTCGGTATTTCGCTAAGGGATAAAATCCGAAACGAAATTATCCGGCAGAGGACCAAAGTGGTCGATATAGTCCGTAAGTGTAGCAAGCTGAAGTGGCAGTGGGCTGGCTACATCGATCACAGACACACAGAAAACGTAGTGTCGGACGTCCCCCTGCTAGGTGGACCGATGACCTGAGAAAGGTCGCTGGTAGTGGCTGGACGAGGAAAGCGGAAGATCGTGCTCTGTGGCATGCCCATGGGGAGGCCTATGTCCAGCAGTGGACTGCAAAAGGCTGATTGGATTGGATTGGAATGAAATTGATAAATAATCACCACCGGTTTTCTCAGTAATCGGTGGTGTAATATAAATATTTATGCGTCTAATAGGGACCTAATAAAGACATATACATTTCAACTTGCTAGGTCCACCCGTTCCTGAGAAAATCGGTGGTGACACACGAACAGACAGACGGACAAGAGGATCTTGTAAGGGTTCCTTTTTTACCTTTCAAGGTACGGAATACTAAAAATTGAATAGAAGGAAGAGATCAGATAGTGAAGCTGCCGCGAAGGTAACGACAGGACAAACCGCTTCGCATGTCGGACCATCCGAGACTTGCGGACGTAGCCGCGGGCATGAGCTAGCTCGACACGGCCGCAGTGCCGAACGAAAACAACGATCTGTGCTGATGACTTGTTACGAGAGACGACTGCACACGCCGGTTCAACATAACGACGACCGTGGTTATGTCGTCTCAGTCAGCGGTTGTACGCCGTTACCGGTGCCCGTCTCAGCATCGTCGCGTTCACTACCACTTTCGGTGTCAGCTTGCGCGCCGCCCTTAAAATGCTGCGTTTTGCCGTGAGTGTTTCGTCCAATTGGTTTTTCTTGTATTAATTAAACATTACCTCAGAGGCATATAGTAGTAACTCCAATTTTTTCAAAATAATTTTTCTTACACCATTAAAATCGCTAGAACACATTCCACACAATAGTAGCATTAAGTCTTACGACGCCTAGTTAAAAAAATATCCAATCGTATATGACATCCTAATCGATAATGCATTCAAGGATTCACTCACGCATTTTTGCCTCGCCTGTAAAATTTGTTCTGTCACATAATGCTGTTTACCTCTGAGGTACAGTTAAGAGAGAGATCGTGTTGATTTTGTTTATTCTCTGAAAAAGTGAATAGGGTAACAAGATATACGCAGAGATTTATCCCACTGGTGGGAAAATGCCTCCTGTGCATAAAGGGTAGCACGCATTTATGTCGCTTCCAAAAATTTTTTCCGCTAGTTCAGTATCCGGGCGCTCAATTTTAATTCAATTCACTCGAGCAACCTGAGTTTGATCCCCGGTGCTCAGTAAGTTATTTTATTCAAATTTATTTAATTATATTCAAAGTTATTTAATTAAATTGTTTTTTTTTTTTAATTCACAGTTTTTGTTGTTCTCTTTATGTTGTTTTTTTAGATGGCGCATAAATGTCGGTGTGGGTAATAGCTTAGGTGTGTAACTAAAACATCCACAAAAAACTAATATTCACATAGAACTTAATGTATCAATTCAATCAAAACTAAGAAGCTCTGTGACGGAGTCTCCAAAGAATGTATAATTAAGACCAGAACACATAAATAATAAATCGCACGTAAGAAGTAAAATTGTGTAATTAATATAATATAATGAAGCTGTTAATTTGGATTGTTATAATTATTGTGATTATTCGTTTTATGTTTTAGTTTCTTTTTTTGCTAAAGCAGGAACCCAATTTATATTAGATCGCGGTGATTACGATTTCGACGTTGACGTAAAGAAACAATTAGTGTTTATGCTCGACTGCCCCTTTTTTTGTGTGTTCGTAATCCCTCTTTCCATATGAAATGGTTTATATCGTAACATTTCATATTACTCTGTTGTAAATAACCATTAATATGTCAGTTTAAATATTTGAAATCAATAAATACGTCTCATGTTACAACATCTGCAAATTTTGTGTGTTGAGGTCTCCGCAAAAGTTGTCGTATAAATCAAACAAAACAAATCACACAAATCACTTTTAAGAGCTCATTGAGTTTAGGGCCAAAAAATCATTGTGTGTCAAATTCAGACAATTTGTGTGGCTTCAATATTTCGTTTGCATTCACACCAGGACAGCTTCAAATTTATTTCAAATGCCTCTCTACGTGCGAGAGTAAGCAGGGAATTACTTAATTTAGTCCCTCCCTATATGATTTCATCTTTCTCATCACTTTAGATATACTCAACTTCTATGATCTTTTTAGTAGCTGTAGAATTGTAATAGTTTCTCTAAGCTCAATGATTCAGATCCGCTATTGAATAACTACACATAAACACCGTGCTACTTTAAGATAGACAGTATTAACCATCATAAATAAAGACACACTCAAGGTATTACATAATAGTGCTTGACATACCCCTCAAAGATTTCTTCATGTTCTACATGAAGAAACCCGCGATTAAAATGAAAGCTAGCTAGCTGCCGTAGATATTCTCTACCATCACTTTTGGCAGAACCACGTCTGAGACCCTTGGTGTCGTAGAAAAGGATCACCACTAAAATGAACCCTGAGATGACGCTTGATTCACCCAACGCGAAAACGTGCTTAGGCAGATACCAAGCTTCGTTGTCCCCAGATCACCTTGGAATTTGTGAGATTTCACACACACAGCCCCAATTCTCTAAAATCTAGAAACCCTTAGGACTTCCGTGAATCAGAAAAACCGGCCCATGACCCGTAGAAGTGGAGATCAGCTTTAGGCTTCAGCAAATGACGTTTTTGCTTTAGTCGAGATTAAAATTTTATCGGATTAAGAGCCTAAATAGCCCTCATGTCTTTATTACTATAACAGAATTTATTACGAAACAAAAAGCCGGCCAAAAAAAGGTTTTGGGTTCGTGTAGTATTAGAGGTTCTGTCGTTAGGAAGCGATTACTTTACAAGTTCATCATATCGTCCTGAAACGCCCTCCCTTTTCCTACCTAAAAGTTAAAGAACTTGCGTGGCATTAAGAATAGGCGGAAGAAATTAGTAAGCAGACATAGAAGTTACATTATAAACATAACCTTCTTTTTTGACGTGTACCAAAGAATGTCGCATATTGTGCAAGGGGTTGGGCAGTAAATCCCAACGACCACTACGAGCTAGAAGGAACTATTGTAGTCTCCTTATTGTAGGATACCATTATTCTGTGTTGTATAGACGTTTTACATGCACAAATTTCACGTGGACAAACGTCCAGATACGAAAAATTATCTGTGGGTCACACAAATAGTTGTCTTGTGTGGAAATCGGACCAGGACCCGTGGCAACTGAGCCACGGAGTCAAGAAAAAAATAAATTAACGAAGACTACAAAAGAAAAAAATATTGCATCGGACAGCATAGCCCCTTGTGACACCTCAAAAACAAAAGACAAAACAAGCACAAGCTGCGATCGCTCAGCCAAGACGGGGTCATGATACTTTACACTGCACATAAGTTACAATTACGCGCTAAACATCCGATACACGGCGTTCCGCGCTAATTAGCTATTCGTAATTAATGGAGCGTCCATATAATTAACAGAGTAACGAACGCGCTTTACGAAATATCGAAAGCCGATCTTGTGTTGCGTTTGTTTTTCGACATTACATTACAGGGAACTTATTCTAGTGCACGTCTAATATCTCACTCGGTTTTGATTTCAATGTTGTTCAAAAGTCATTGACTCTTAATAAATGTCAGAAGTCCATTATTGTTTTCACATTCTGTTTACACCAATGATTTTTTAATAAGGATGGAACATGTTCATACTGTGCGGCGTTTAGAAATTGTTCCGCTTTACATTATATGACATACTCTATAAGAGTATGTCATATAATGTAATACATAGTAGTGAAAGTGACGTATGATATACCTTTCAGTAAAGAGATGGAAGTCAATGATGACGTATATAAGTGAATAACACAGGATGATATAGAACGTATGATACGGAAGCAGATCTGTAAAATTGCAATTTAATAACACCAATTGACGTAATTTAAGTGCCTCAGTTTCGGTACAATAGCGTCATATCTACCTCGTATTTGTATTTAGTATTTTTTCATTTATTTATTTGGGAAAGATACAGTATACACCCACACTTATAATTATTACAAATAACTTGTACCAACACCAGCTAAGTTTCCTCTAATAGGAAAAATAACCAGAAAATATAAAGTGAAATAAAAAAAGAAGCAATCGCAACCTAAACCTAAACGATTAGTATATAAAAAGTAATAATAAACGATAGGACAGGACACATCATTGGTTTACACCATTGTCACTTTAAAGCGACATTCCTTACGCTAACCGCCACTTTCCTCCCCAGATTACCCTAATCCTGACGCTCGCGACGAGCGCGAGGACCGTCCAGGAGAGGCCCAACTACTCGGTCGCCTCAGAATCGCAGATCAAGCTCGCCCTCGAGAACAACTACGAGGACACGGGCCCGGGCGCGAAGGGCCGCGAATACGCGTACAACACCTACAAGACCCTGGAGGAGGCGCTGGTGAGCTACATCGACGACCCGGACACGAAGCTGCCGGAGAGCGAGAGGATGAAGGCCCTCAACCGGCTAATAACCACCCCCAAGGAGTACGAGAGGTACACTGCGCAGCCGATACGCGAGCTGCCGAAGAGCGTCGCGGACTATACCGGGTACAGGCAGATCCCGCAGATAGCGCCCATCGTGCTGAAGAAGAACGTCTGGCCGCAGTCGCTGTACTCCGCCCAGCCGAGCACGAAGCTCGGAAGTCACAACCTCGGCTTTTCGACGAGCAGTCTGCACACAGGGGTGCAACATACCACGCAGCCGGTTTACAAGTTCGAGGGGGCTCCCATCTCGGACCCAGCGCTCATTCCCGGCCCCCTCATTCCCGGATACTTCCCCTTCCTTGCCAAGGTGAACCACCACCGCGAGTACAACCGGCCGCAGTACTCCACCTACGGAATATATGTAAGTACCAATATGCCACCGTGATAGATTTCCACATAACCATGCTCGATTCTGGACGTGAAATATTCACTAAGACAGGTAAGGAGTAGAATTCCTTTTTGATTGTTGTGACACAAGTCAGCCAGTGTTACAATAACAAGTAATATCGTCTCCGCTGTTACACGAACGGGCAGCCCCGTTCGTAAAAGTACCACGACCTCACAGAAGACAGGCGTGAAGTGGAAGTGTTACCCTTCTGCGTTTCGTCTGGTGTGTGAGGTAACCGGGGCCCACTTTATCAAATGGTGACAATGCATCTGCAACTCCAAGGAAATTTTGCAAATGTCCACGTGCGGTGGTTATGACTTAACACCAGGTGAACCGCCAGCTCGCGTGCCACTCTCTCACATACAAAATCACATATTTTAAACAAACAAGGATAACCGAACACGTCAATCATCAAAATTAAAACATGTAGAAAAAGTACGAAAAGATTGTCGCCGCTGTGGGAATCGAACCCACGGCTTCGGCATTGGCGGCCTGACGCTCTAGCCACTGAGCTAAACGGCTGATAGCCACAGCGACGAAAATCTTAACGCCTTCATTCTACATTGTTATTTAGCATTTGAAGCAATACCTGGCGCATCTATTGTTATATCCTTTCCAGCATACAAACAATTTCGAATATCGTTTTACAACGATAATTCGAACGAGAGATGTCGCCATTGCTTTTTATAAATTTTAAAGTTTTTTATAGTGCTAATCTCTGCACTTAAGATTGAACATTAAAACGTCAATCATCAACAAACAGCAAATTTCACATGTAGGTATTCTGTATGTCACTCGTAAAAACTAACGCTGACAAAAGGATGGTTAAATTCTTTGAATTGATCATTCTGATCATTAAGAAGATCGTTCTTGTCAATTCAGAGCGTTTAACTATCCTTTTGGCGACTAAAATGAAATTTGAAAAGCCATTTGACAGCTGATTAGTTGAAATCTACGATAAACAGTGTTTCAGAAACCGGGCGTAAGTGTCGTGATTAAAGATTCAGTACCTGGATGACCGAGCTTTGCTCGGTTTTTTTTTGGTAAATAAAAAAAATAAGAAATAAAGAAAGCAATGATCTGGTATAGAAAAAAAAAGTAAAAAATCAATTGTGTAAATGATCGTGATACGAACCGCGGCCGTCTGTTTAAGGCCGCCCAATTACCGACCGAGCTATTATAAAAAAAATTTTTGCGGCGAAATTTACCGTCATATTCGAATGATATTTTTCATTCCCTTAAAACAGGGATAAAAGGACATTTTATAAAAATGAAACCTAGCTAGATCGATTTTTCGCCCCCGAATCACTGGAGCCGTTTCCGAGATTCCGATTATATATATACAAGAATTGCTCGTTTAAAGGATAGGATAGGATAGATAAATGAAGTATTGTTTTCACCATACTTTTAAACCGTTGATCTCAAAGTCAAGGTCTTTTGTTCAATTGCTTACTTCACACAGCTACCGATCTACGACAATCAGCTCCGCGTCATACTGTAATGATTCACATTTCTTAACGGGACACGTTTTTGCTTTCAATCACTTTCCCCACTTCGATTTACCATCGCTTTGTAATGGTCGTCATTAACTGTCTTTTTCCACTATAATAAGTGATTAAAAAAATGTGTGTGAACTTTTTTCTCGTATCGTACATTCAAATTTGTAACAAGTATAATAATTTCTAAATTCTAATAAAACATTTCATATTTTAGCGAGCCTTTAAAGACTCTTTTAAACTTTAATTCATTGCGTCAATGACTTGCACTCTTACATTCTTACCTAGATGTCATTACAATTGAACGAAAGCAACTGTAAAGTATGTTATAAGAATGAGTTATATCTATAAATATTTTTGTATATAGAATAACGATTCAGAATAAAATTATTATGGAAATAACGCCTTCGTGCTGATAGAAATCAATATTATAGCGGACACAATGCGATCTATCACAATGAACAAAGAAAAATACTGCATTACGTGAACAATGAACAGACATTCTGGAGAAATTATAATAGTTAATAACTTAACAATACGTAGTAACAACGATATGTTTTCACGCGCGAACCTAATAGAACAATCAACTCGCTCATTTCCTGTCGACTGACGACAAGTTTTTCGTGGTTTCGGTAAATAATAATTACTTCGACCGCCGTGAACTTATGTTTTCGTAAGAGCCGTGATAGCTCAGTGTCCCGGTGTTTGCTTTAAATTCAATTTTATCGAGCTACTTTAGTTCAAAGCCCGGCACCGGCAACAATAAAATTGTAAATAGCAATTTTAAGTGCGAACTTATCATGTGATCAGTAATGAAACCAACATGTTGTCTATTGGTAGTGACATTATCGTAATAAATAAAGTAGGCAATATTTAAACTTTTCTGTTTGTTCGTTTAGCATATATTATAGACAGGATGTTCCAGAAAGATTGGATAACCCTGAAGCCCAATAGTAAAGTTATCAGGCGGTTAAAAATAATTTTGGCTTTTAATTAATCCGCTGCTGATTGACCTTAATTGAAATATGTTTGTTGTTATTTTATGTTCCTTTTTTAAATTTTTGGCATGTTAAAACTTGTTAAAATATATTTAATCGTTCAAAGTAGAACTAAATAATTAAATCATTCTTTTGTAATATCACTTTTAACTACAAAATTTTTTTTAATAATTTTTACTTTTGATCATGACATCAATTAGCTTGTGGTAAGCTAATATGTAACATTAAAAAAGAAAATGTTGTAACACCTACATGATAGTCAGAAATAAATTTAGTTCATTTATTTATTTCCAACTATACTTGCATTGTATTATAACACTTTATCGTATATAGCAAATATGATGGATGACATGCAATTGGGAACACGGCAGGCTATCAGATGATTTCACCAAAGGTCGAAGCAATGATCTACGCTTATGGGTGCGGCGTACTTAGGTGTCGGAATTCGAGAAAGGTCGTCCGAGTGCGTGCCTTTATTCATAAAGTATTGTTTAACTCATGGCTTAATGGCTATTAAACTCGACGACAAAAATGTTACATTAAATCTCGGACTAAACTAAATGAATTCATAAATACAACACAGATTGACTGGCAGATAACTCCGAAAGGCAGTATGTCCGCCTATTGAGTTCAAAATTTGAGAGAAATTATGAGATAAGACTAAATTAATAAATACACAATGATAATAGAACTGAACCATTGATCGCTATTTCTAGAAAAATATGTTTAATATTTTATTATTAAAGGATACCTACGGAGTTTGTTTCACATGTTTCTTCTCCTTTATAGAAACCAAATTTCGAAACGGTGGCAGATTTAAAAAAATGACCATCGATGAATTATAGTGAATAGTGAATGAATGAATGAATGAATGAATATTTATTTAGTTTCAACAACAAACATAGTTATGTTAACAATTAAAAGAATTTATATCTAAGACATGAAACCAAACAGGTATGTACTCGTTACGATTTCTCGATTTTCAGTACATACCAAAAAATTAAATTATTAATAACAAACTAGACTAAAATAACACAAAGCGGGTACATTAATTTAAGGACAATAACACAATACCTACTGATTATAACACAAATCTGGTACATTATTCTAAAGACAGTAACACAATAACGACTAATGAAAATTAACATTTATAAGTAAAAAGCAGTGAACAGAAAAAAAAAGAAAACTGTTTCCAAAAACAAAAACAAATGCAGACATCAATAAAATATAGCTCGACGAAAACACCAAGTCACTTATCAAAAATACATAAACTGTGTACACTGTAAGTATATAAAATGCACACGTATTTTAGCCCCGTAGCTTTTGCGCCTTAAGGAGATGTTCTTTAAGTTTTATTTTAAAACTTTTTACTGTTGTGCAGTTTTTGACTGGAGGTGGTATATTATTCCAGCATTTTGTGGCAGCGTAGCGAAAGCTACCACGAAATGAGGATGCCCTATGTTTTGTGTGCATTAATCGACTTGCAACCCGGGTGTTGCGTTCAGAAAAAAGAAGTTTCTCATATAAATACTGTGGCTCGCGATTACGAATGACTTTATACAGCATACAACTATAATGGCGTTTGATACTTGTATGTCATCGTTAACCCAGGCTTATTGACAGTTTTTAAATGAATAATTATGTGCCTGATCTAAGGAGAAGGTGCTAATTGAATCTTGTCTTGCAGTAGTTTGAGGTCGTTTGGGCCTAGATTTAATTTTATTAATGATAGGATGCCAGTAATAACTTACTAAGTACAAGTTATTAGTTTATTAGATGATTTTTATACTTCGCAAACCAGTCACCACGAAACACCCGTGTTCCGCTGACCTTGCTAAATGACAGTTTGGTTATTTTTAATTGCAAGATTAACTCAGCCTAAAGCTGTCAACTGAACAATCTGTCTTCCGTCAATAATTTCCGGGTTAGTGAAGGTTCAATTAACAATGTTTGTTAAATTTTGGTTAAATAAGTTTATGATCTCTTGGTTCGATATACTCGTAATACGAAAGCAAATGTCATGCTTACCCGATTCCTCATTAAAACATTTCATATAGTTAAGTCATAATAAATGACTTTTTAGTATACGTTATTTATTACTTTTATTACCTCGACGGCGATGATTTTGTCACTTCGAATTCCTTTGTTCAAATAAAACGTTAGACCTGAGATCAGGCACAATTACTTTTTCTGCACAGTCCGTAAAAAGTCAAAGTAACTGTCGTTATTTGCCGCTTTATTAGTTTTAACTTTAACAAAAGTTAAAACTAATAAAGAATACTAATCAAGAAAGAAAGATGAATGAAAGTAAAAATTTTACTTGGTACATAAATACAATAATTAGGTTACAAAAGAAGACAATGCTAAATTCCATGGAGTAAAACAAACCAAAAAGGTTGTCACGAAAACTCTATAAATGGAGATCGCGTGGAGAGATACTGGGATAGGCGATACCCGTTGGCTTACAGTAAAAAAATAC